ATTTCTATATAATGTCTGACAATCGAGTAGTCAGGTTCTAGGTAAGCTGAATTTGCTGAATGTTCTTTAATGAACTGGAACAAAGTAACCACGATACCTTGTAGTGGATCTGAGATCACAGAGAAGTCGAAAGTCATTATGTATTCGGCCGAGAGCACATATAGTGGACAAACTCAGATATTGCGAAAACATCGAATTCAAAAACTAGTGATAGACAAGAGATTTATCAACCCTTCTGACAAATTCTCTAGCAAACTCGTTACTCTGAGCAGACAGTATTTCAAAATTCTCACGGGGTTTCTAATAGAGCATGGTTGGTTGAAGTACTATCTTAATAAAATAGGAGACAAGTATCTACCATTTTTGTAAATATAGATTGAAATGTCAAAACACATTCGTGAATGCCCAAAACTGAGCAGCAACACACATCCATTTGAAGTACAGACGTATTGCTTATTGCTCATAGTATGTGGAACAAGACTAAACTAGATTTATTAAAAATCTAATAATCGGTTGAAACCACTACAGTTAACACAATTATTCAACCTAATCGCGAGTTAGACTTGTCCCAATTTCTTCAATAATCCACAATAATAATGATATTTTTAATGAAAAGATTCCCAATTCTGGAGCGCCCTTCTTTAAGAGTGGTTTACGAAAGGTCGCCTATTCTTGGTAACTTTTTTCACTTCATTATAAGTCGATATAACTTAGCTTTCGAAATATGCTGTAAGTTAAAGGCTCAAGGCTTAATTAGTCGGTACGAAATGAACAACCAACCATACCTGTGCATTTGATATGAACGAAATAAACAAACTTTGCAGCTTTTGTTTCAAAATAAATCTATTCATGTAAACATCCAATGCTAAATATAACACAAATATATTTATTAAAACAAGAAAAAGTCGGAGTACCAGTTAACAGCACCAAAAAGGAAGAACAATTTCACAAAAATGTCTATAGGAAGACATTAAATAATTTCTACTATATAAAATACGAAAAAGTTTTTATAGAAAAACATGTATATAACATTTTCAAGATTATTATTTATTAATAATTAAAAATCAAATTTTTAGTAAGTAAATTTTGTAGCGATGACAACTTCCATAATCTCCAAAAAAAAAAATGTTTGATAACTAATCTATAATGATCATTACAATTAATATACAATCGAGTAGATTGTACATATATTCTATAACATTTGAAAAAAAAAATAAATTTTAATAAATCTTTAAAGTGAACATACAAAATAAAAGTATTAAATATATATTAAAAATAATTTATTGCTTTATATTACTTAATCCAAACTAAATTTAACCACTTTCATTGGACTTTGCTTCTTCGGTTATCAATATTATCAACTTATGACAGTAATTGAATAAAAAAAACCAAAAAAATAATAAAAATATGAAACGGATTTGTTACTTATTATTCAATTTCTTAATCTTATCGATTAAAATAAGTTAATATTAATAAAAAAAAAATGGCAATTATCACTTCACTCTGCACCACAGCCAGCCTGGTAGCAAATTCAAACCAACAAATTTTAATAACAACAATTAACTGAATAAATAATCATGTCGAATTTCACATTATAGATTAATTCACGAAAGGAACATGGAATACAAGAACCAAAGTCACCGGAAAATCCAATATGAATAACTTTTAGATTATTCAGCTTTTGTTTGTTCTGCAAGGGGAAACGCGTCAACACTTTCAGTACAACCATCACAGCAATTACTCGTACTCATTAAATTATAACAACAAAAATACTAAATAAAATAAATCAAAAGCATCGGGAAAAATATCGTTAACTGGGAGATCTAAACAACTGATTTGTTATCAATAAAATTGTTGTGTGGAAACCATGGGGGTAAAGGTGCACTTTTGACGAATACTACAAAACATTATTTATACAGAACTTTTAATGCTAGAGCTTCATTACTTTCAATTCAATTTAATTCGTTATAACTAAAATATTTTTTAAATAATAATAAAAATCGTTATTTTATTCTTAAAATATCTTTATCTTTATTATCTTATTCTTATTTATCATTTATTTTTATAACAGAATTTCAAACAGAATTAGATTGAATTGAATTGAAATTTGAACAATAAAAGTTTAGTTGAGTTTTGCCTCTTTCGGTTAATGCAATAAACACCCGGCACTTCTAGATCTTTAATCTGGCACTTGCAGTTCAGTCATTGTTGTAAATACTGACTTATACAACCAACGAATATTATTAAAGACCATTATAACTATTTGGCAATACTGTTCTAATTTGACTGGTCTAAGCCTGGCTCTTCAAGATATTAGTCCGGTACTTGCAGTCAAACTATTATTTTATTACTGACCAACGAATATTATTAAAGACCACTGATGATGAGTAAACGTTATTTATCATTTATTTTTACAAAAGAATTTCAAACAGAATTAGATTGAATTGAATTGAAATTTGAACAATAAAAGTTTAGTTGAGTTTTGCCTCTTTCGGTTAATGCAATAAAAACCCGGCACTTCTAGATCTTTAATCTGGCACTTGCAGTTCAGTCATTGTTGTAAATACTGACTTATACAACCAACGAATATTATTAAAGACCATTATAACTATTTGGCAATACTGTTCTAATTTGACTGGTCTAAGCCTGGCTCTTCAAGATATTAGTCCGGTACTTGCAAACAAGCTATTATTTTATTACTGACCAACGAATATTATTAAAGACCACTGATGATGAGTATTGGGCAATTCTATTCTAATTTGACAGGTTTTAAGCCCGACACTTCAAAATCTAAGCCCGGCACTTACGGTGCAACAATTATGGTATAACTGACTTAACACACAAGAGATATGATTAAAGACCACTGATGATGAGTATTTGGCAATACTTGAAACAGCTGAGTGGTCAACAAAAAATATTCAATTAATTAAATATGAAATTTTTGTTGTTGGTACCCAATAATTTTGGAAATGTTATATTAAAACATAATTTATCTCGACATATTTGATTTTGAACTTATTTTTAATACATATTATTATGTTGAGGCTAGTTGAGTTAGTTAAGCATTTTTACTCTCTATTAACTGCGGGGATTTTGCATAACCCTTCTCTACGCCTTAAGTGGATTTTTGTTTATCACTTTATCAGACTAAACAATAACTGACCTCAGATCTGCATACGTCCCCAAGAAACCTGTCACCATTCTGAGATTCATCAGACTTAGCAATATTGACCTCAGATCTGCATACCTCCCCGAGAAACCTGTAACCATTCTGAGATTCGACACGCGGTGTTGGTACCTTGAAAAGTCTCCTTGAAGATGATCTGCATTTGCTAATGCGGATATAAACATTCATTGCAACCCTTGGATAAGTAATTTTTAAACAAGTTCAGCTACCACTTGTTTCATGTCCAAAAAATTCGTTAAAATCGCTTTTGATAAACCGAAAAATATTTGTTTTACATTAGTTATATTTCTAAAGGTAATCTATGATTAAGGAATCACAATCTGTTTAACTTTTTAAGGACACTCAGACCTCGCGCCATCTTCAATGTCTTCTTAACCTGCTAACCTCAACTATCAATAAATACTATTTTAAAAATTTTATCATAATATTGTTATATTATTATAATCATCAACATCAAAAAGCTTTACAACTTTATGTGAGCTTTAGCTTCCTCATACATCATAATTACTTGTTCAATCTTTACGACGGTTTTTATAACACCGAATAAGTTTTCGCACTGGTTTTATTAGATTTTATTAAGCAAATTTAAATATTTGCATCAGATACAGTCAGATTTAGAGATAAACGAAGGCGAGAAGGTAAGAGCTTTAATTGTGGAGAAGCATTCGACTACAAAATTCTGTGTTAACAACTAGAAAACTAGGCCTAAACTACCACCAGATCAACATTATATATTCAAGTATGAAATCCTGTGTTAACTAGAAAACTATACCTAAACTACAACCAGTTCAACATAATATATTCAACTATGAAATACTGTGTTAACAACTAGAAAAGTAGACCTAAACTACCACCAGATCAACATTATATATTCAACTATGAAATACTGTGTTAACAACTAGAAAACTAGGTCTAAGCCACCACCAAATCAATATTATATATTCAAGTATGAAATCCTGTGTTAACTAGAAAACTATACCTAAACTACAACCAGTTCAACATAATATATTTAACTATGAAATACTGTGTTAACAACTAGAAAAGTAGACCTAAACTACCACCAGATCAACATTATATATTCAACTATGAAATCCTGTGTTAACAACTAGAAAACTAGGTCTAAGCCACCACAAAATCAATATAATGTGTAGGTATGGACTGTTGCCAACTTAATAAAATACAACAATCCGAAATCAAATGATATCCAATGAATATCTTTATTTATTTGATTATACCTTCTGATTATAAAGTTAGCTAGACTTTAAAAAATTAATAGTTTTATATATTATCGATTCCTATTAAATTCCATCCAAACACATTTCCGAAAATAAATGCTAAGATCTGAGGTCATCAATTAGTGGAATTTTCGTATAGTTAATTAAATTTATGTACATTAATATCAAGGAAGTTTTTAAATGCTTATCCAGCTATAAAAGGGATTTCCGAAAATTTCATAATAAAACAGTATAAATCTAAATGAACTGCTTCAAATCGCAGCGATAAGAGTGCGAATTTTTTTATTATCTAATGATAAGGAAACCAAAACGCTTTTGTGAATAAAATTAACCAACGAAAGTGGTTGACATTATGGGAACTCATATCTGCGCAAAGAATTGGACATTATCAATTTTAAATCTCGTAAACGTTTTAAAAATTATATTTATACCCAATTACGTAGGTATACATACATGGAGGTATATATATTAAATTAGGTGCGATAATACCGGTTGCGTATCCGTACTTTGAATCAGAGTTTGTATTAGCGGTGGCTATAAAAGCTACTGGCACCATTTAATATTGAACAGTTCGCGACGATTCAACGCGTAACAGGTGTGAGTAACGGATTAACACGAATACGAAAATTAACGAATATGTCGCGTCATATCCTTTGGGGTTTGGCGCTAGCACTTTTAGTGCTAACTAATAGTTCGAGTGCGACGGAGTTAACGGATAACACAGCATTGGGCATTTCTCCTTTGAGAAGTGATTTAGCATTTCAATTTTACAATTTGGGTTCTCAATATCTAACTGGAGCACAGAAAATTATACCAAACGTCAGCGAAAAATGCTCAATCGACATAATAAGAATAGCAGAAGGCGTCAAAAAAATTGAAGAATGGGCTCTTGAATGTAAGCATGCAATTATGTAATTTAATATTATATAAGGATTAACAGGGATAAAAGAAAAATAAATAAACATAAAATCAAATTTAAAAAAATGTAATAATAAAATATTTTATTATTATTAAAAAACAAAATTTTAAAAATGTAATAATTAAATATAAGTTAATTTGAAATAATATAAAATACAAAAATAAAAAGAAAAGCAATATAAGTTAAAGAATATTTAACAATTTCTTTAACAATTTTATTATGTTGTTAATATTTTATTAACAATATTAAATAACAATTTGTGTAATCTCAAACTGGTCACTAAAGCCCTCAGCTAGAATTATATTAAAAAAAAAATAAAGTTACAAAAAAAACACAAAAATAACAAACTGTAATTAAAAACAAAAGATTACCAAATGAATATAAAAATAAATCTAAAAATAAATAAATATAAGTATATAATTAAAATAAGCAAAATAAAAAATTAAAATAAAAAATTAATTAATAAAATAATATAAACTAAAAAACAAGTGCAATAAGTTTGGAAAAATTAAGTTTAGTTATATTGAATTGAATTTAAAAGAAATAAGTGATATAAAATATAATTAATTAGGAAAAAAAATAAAAGAAAAATTATAAAAAATTTTAAATATTAAATAAATAATATATAAAATTAAAATAAATAATATAAAATACACGAAATAAATATGTTACAATTTTTTTGTAAATTAAATGAAATTATATCAAAAGCGTACGAAAATAATTTTTTTAATATTAATAATACCAATAATTCTTTTATAATTAATAAATAGTTTATTAAATTTTAAATTGTATTTATTTTTAAAGTTAAACATAAATTTAGTTTTATTTCGAAAACCAGAAATACTTATTTTTTAAAAGTATTATCACATAATTAAATAACAATTTAAGAGAATAACAATTCAAAAAAAAAATATTTTAGATGATTTTACACTAGATATATATAATTTTTTTGATTAAATGATTGATTAAATGTGGTGTGTTCACTAACAAGTGACCGTTTTGAAAGTAATTAATTGTTTACAAAATAGTAGGATTAAAATTTAAATATTAAATTTTAATTATGTTTATCTTTAAAACTAAATTTTAATTATTAAATTTAATTAAATTAAAATAAATAGTACATAAAAAAAGGACAGAGATACATTTCTCTATTATTTGTATTTACTAACATTTTTTTTTTAATATTAATGTTGAAAATGAATTTAGAGCAAAAATTTTTAATATGGTTTATGATATATTTTATAGTATATATTAAAAATATATTTTAATATTAGCAATTTCAACATTGAGGATATCTTCAGTTTAAAACAGATATTAAATTCAGTTCAATTGTAAACACAAATAAAAATGACAAAATCTTATAAAAATAGTATATAACTATATATTATACATATAACTTATGACTTTCGGTCATTATTTTGATTGATTATAGTCATTAAAAACAAATAAGAAGAAAAAACAAAGAATAAGTTCTTTTAGGAAATGATCTTTAATGTCAAAAAATTTGGACTTTTATATTTATTTTTTAATACAAATAATAAATTATTATTAGCAATATAATTATTAAATTATTCTGCATAATTTAAACTTTAAAGCATTTATTTTTAAAAAAAATAATATATTATTACATATTAATAAAATAATTATTAAATTATTCTCTATAGATTTTACTATTCCTGCATAATTTAAACTCAATCGAATTTTATCAGTTTAAATAAAGTTGTCCTATATTATATATATATATATATATATGTTATATATATATATATTATATATTATATATGTATTATATATTATTATATATGTATTATATTATATATAAATGTACAATTTTCTTTTTATAACCATAGTATAAACGACTATTCAATGCCATTATTATCATATCATAACGTTTTCATTCAGTTATTTTGCTGGCTTATAGGCTTATGAAGAACGATTATCAAAACAACTATAGCTAAATGTGCTAAAAACTGATTAAAAATATTTATACATATTCTTAATCACATTAATACCGTGTGACGTTTAACACGTTTTATTAATTTCTCAACTGAAAAACCCACTATAAATCAAAAAGTCCACAGTTGTAAATCTCTTAACAGTTATCAATATTGAAATTTGGAAAAAAATATATATTATGTATTATACCAAAATCGTCGGACTTTAAACATATTTAATTAAAAAAGTTTTTTTTAATTGATCTCAATACATACATTAATACTCTTTTTTGCTAGTCCCAACTTAAATCTTTATTTTTGTAAAATTTATGACTAACTGCGAAAGTTGACAGTCCTTGTCCTATATGAGTGGTTGACTTGATTGTGACTTAATTGTGATAAGTTCATATTTAAACAATAAATTAATCATAAATCTTTTAATTGTTGAGAGTAAACGTTATATTATTTTTATTGTAAATACATTAGTTATTGTTAACATAGAAAATATTTTTCACTAATCTAATCTTAATTATGAAGCATGAACATATTGAACATAAAATAGAAAAATAACAATATACACTTATATCCATTGATTATTAATTCATTACATTTTGTTTATTTTTTTCATAACAGTTCCTGACTCATGGGGTCGTGCGCCAATGGGTCTTATGTGGGGTCACACTTCCAGTTTTGGTCAATATGAGGAATGCATTGCTGCCACAAGAACATATTACTTATCAGACGATAAAGAAGAGACTGTTGATGGACAATACTGTTTAGCTAAGGTACCAATTCACAAGTTCATGGAGGATATGGTCAAACGTAATGAGACAACTGGTACAATGAAAATTTCTTACAAATACAGCTTACCCAAAATTTTTGAGTTGGGTGTATGCGTACCAAAAACTTGTACTGTAGATGACACAAATGAAATTCTTAAACAAGTCTTACGTGCTTATATTCCTGATAAATACGATATCAACGATAATACAAAAATGATTGAAGAAGGACGTTGCGACTATAAAAAACCAGTTGAACTACGAGGAATAGATATATTTGCAATGTAAGTTTATATATATTTAATCTAAGAAGAACTTCAAAATAATCACATATTATCACATATTTTATTTAGCTGTTTCTTTGCAATCATTATATTTATAATGTTAGTCAGCAGCATCTACGATTATGTACAGACAGAGAAAAAACGTAAGTAATACATGTTCTTAATTTCAATTTAAAAGTTTTAAAATTGTTAAATCTTTATTTTTCTCTAGAACCAAAGAAACCTCTATTTATTGCATTCTCTGTACTAACTAATGCGCCAAAGATTTTCACTGTTAAAAGAGTAAATAATCCAAACGTTATACACTGTCTGAATGGCTT